GAGGCGCCAGCGTTGTCTACTGGGCTTTCCCAGGCGTGAGCAGCTCTGTCTCAGCTTTTCGGAAGGCAGCCGTTCTGACAGCGGGAACACCGAGAGCGAAGCCAGCCTGGCTTTTGAAAACATCTGGGCCTGCTGGAGAAAAAGAAAGATTACAAACTTAGTGCAAATGACTCCCGGAAAAAGCAAGAATACCTCAGAGCTCTTCGAAAGAAAGCTCTTGAAAAAAATCCAGATGAATTCTACTATAAAATGACTCGAGTTAAACTCCAGGATGGAGTTCATGTTATCCCGGAGACGAAGGAAGAAGTAACTCCAGAACAGCTGAAACTGAGGAGAACTCAGGATGTCAAATATATGGAAATGAAAAGGGTTGCGGAAGCTAAGGAAATCAAAGGACAGAGAGCTCCACCTGCTGGATTTCCAGGGGAAGCAACAGAATAAGCATGTGTTCTTTTTTGACACTAAAAAGGAAGTTGAACGGTTTGACATTGCAACTCGCCTGTGAACTGCCCCAGAATTGGTGGACAGAGTCTTTAATAGACCCCCCGCCCCCCATAGAGACCCTGCAGAAGGAGAAATGAAAGGAGTTCCTCATCAGACTCGACTTAAGTGGATAGCTAAAGAAAGGCAAAAGCAGTCCTAACTGGTTTGGCTCAGTGGATAGAGTGTCGGCCTGTGGACTGAAGGGTCCCAGGTTTGATTCCGGTCAAGAGTATATACCTTTGTTGCGGGCACATCCCCAGTAGGGGGTGTGCAGGAGGCAGCTGATTGATGTTTCTAACTCTCTATCCCTCTCCCTTCCTCTCTGTAAAAAATCAATAAAATATATATATTTTTTAAAGGGGGGGGGGGGGCTGGAGGCAAAAGCAATATAACTGCCTGACACAGCGGATTGAATGCGAGAGGAAATTGTTCGTCATTGCACAGAAAATTCAAACACGCAAAGATCTTCTGGATAAAACTCGGAAGGTGAAGGTGAAGAAAGAAATGGTGAACTCCCCTGCTGTTTACAAATTTCAATTTCAGAGTCGCCGGAAACGTTGAAGTGTTATAGATAAGCCTTGTCATTCCAAATGGAAAAGAATTCTATGTCCTTTCCCCCCAGTAACTTCAAATTCCATTCGTATAAATGCGATGGTGTTCCTGTTTGTAATTATAATTTATTGCAGGTCTGACATCTGATATAAACGACATCAATGCTCCTTTCCCCGCTTATGGTTTGGAGTTGTGAAATTAGCCTTATTTGTATATACTTACTTTTTTTAATTATGAAAGTTTCATATCTCATTACAGCAAGTTTGGGAAATAAATGAGTTCATTTTAGTGCCAATACTTATTCAAGAACAATAAATAGCTGCTGCATCCTGACAGTGCTGGGAGCTCGGACAGTGGTGGAGGTGAACAGCATGAGCATTCTGGCTTATCGCCTCCATTTTGTAGAGGTATGCACTAGATTTTTTTGTAATTACATTTTAGTTTTTCACTTAAATCATTTGCTCTTATCCATTTGTTATGTCACTAAATTTTAAACCAGCAATGCAATATAGGCTCATTGAAAAAATTAAATCTTATTTTTCATGTTTACATAATGTTTTATCCAAAGGGAAAAAAAAAAGAACTGCAGTGACCACAAGGCCACAGGCAACTAAGGACAGCTCAGTTATGGCTGCAGCCGGACCCAACAGGACCCCAACCCCCTACTTTTGGTTTGATGACACACCAGACTGCGCAAAAGTGAAGGCGTCTGTGAGGACAGCCGGTCTGAGGAGACTCAGGGGGAGCGAGGACCTAGAGACTCTGCCCCAGCCCCAATGCTGAGGCCACTTTTGACTCCCACACGGGGCACCCCATGTTCTTTATGGATATGGATTAACTGGCAGGAGTGGGGGCCTTCCTGCTGGAAGGATAGGGCAGGTGGGGGTAGGAGGAGTCTGGGGAAGCTCCCACAGGGGTGAGGGGTCCAAGCCCAGAGTGATGGAGACACACAGGGTGTGTGCATGTGTGCGTCTGTGTCTGTGTGTGTTCGTTGCTTTCCACTTAAAATGACAGCGCACGGTGTCACTGTGTGTGGAAAAGGAATCACTTTGGGAAATTGTTTTTTCGTGTGTCCTCCCTTCTGGGGTCTAGTTTGTTCCAGAAAGAGGGAGGGCACCGCCTGAGGGCTGTCTACTGGGCTCCCCAAGAGAGGACCCTTTACCCGGCCTGACCACACAGGCTGAGCCCATGCGGCCACAATATCTGCTGACTCCCCCATCTGGCCACCCACCTCACCGTCTCTGTGGTCACGGTGCACCTGCCAGGGCCCCTGGCTGAGCCTCCCTGCCCTGAGGCTGTGGGCCCCAGGCCTTGTCTCCTTCCCACCTTAGGGAGTCGGGTGAACACTGAGGCCTCCTGCTCCTGGTGGGGGCGCTCACTCTGGTCTCCCCAAGCCCCTGACCACCCCGTGCCTTTTCCATGGAGGGGGAGGCAGTGAACAGCCCAGATGTGTGTTGCTACTGCTTCCCACTGTGTGAACCATGAAGGTGACCTTAGTGACAGGCTCAATGTGTGCTGCCTGCTTGGTGTGTCATTGGCGGCAAGGCTCTTCTGCCCCCTGGTGGTGAATGTTGGAATCGCATGTGATCATCTGTGGGCTGGGCCCCACCTAGAGTCCAGTCCGCCACCCTCATGGACTGGTGAGGACACAATCTGCTCCTCAGAAGGGTGATAAACCTGCCCGAGGTCTCACAGCAAGTCGTCAGCGGCCCAGGACTACCCTGGCTCCTCAGGGCCTCCGGACTGACAGGTTAAGGGTGGCAGCTAATACTCACCAGGTATCCTCCCGCTGGTCTGGGCCAGGCAGCCTTGTTGGATTCTCGATCCATTGCCGCTGGCTGTTTTTCAGTAAACTGTGACATAAACGTGCCCGGTTCGATGGAATTTTGGATGTGACTTGGTTTTCACTCACACAATGAGCTGCAGGGGATTCCCAGCTGTGCAGCGGCTCCAGAGGCGGAACAGCGCCCGATGCTCCACCCGCCACCACCGCCTTCTTCTCCGCCTCCGCCTCCTCCCCGCCTAATGGGCATGGGGGAGGGGGGGGCGGAGCCTGCGGCGGTGGGGGCGGAGGCAGAAAACCCTGAGTCTTTTAAGAAAAGAAGCAATGATTGTGAAGTTGGGAAGGAGACCGGAAGTAGTATGTGGCCAGGAGACTGGGGTGGAGGAAACGGTCTGGGGTCCCGGGGAGAAGGGGTGAAAATGCTGGGCACTTCGCCCCCAGGAGCAGGGGCCCGGCCTGGGGAGGGGCAGGGGCAGGACGACACTCGGGATCCATTCCCTCCTTGGACCCTGTGGATGCGGCTCCTTGACACATTGCGTCGCCCTCGGGCTCCAGGTCCCCATGGCGTGGACTGTGGGCACCCAGTTGGGTCCGGTCCTCCTGGACCCGCTTCTACGACAGGACTGTCCCTGGGCGGAGCGCGGCGGTGAAGCCAGAATGGAACCTGCGGGGCGGGAGGCGGCGGAATGGGGCGCGGGGGGCGCACAAAGACCGGGACCAAGGCGCCCACGGGGGTTCAGAACCTCCCGAGGGTGGGTGCCGCCACGCCCTGTTCAGCTCCCCTCCGTGTACCAGGCAAGGCGAGGGCAGGGACACGAAAAGGGGACTTGGGCTACAGAGTGATGCTGGGCGAAGGGGCGGGAGCAGGAAATGCTGCCAACGCCCAACCCCCACCCCACAGCTCCCGCCCTCCCTGGGAAGAGGGCCCCAGCCCAGGGTCGTCCTGGGGACCAGGGATGTTCACGGAGGGTCACGACCCACAGGTGACTGGATACCCCAACTCCGCTCACACCGCTTTCCCAGGCAAACCCTCTGACACCCCCCTGCTCTCCCCCTGGGCCTTCCCAGCAGCTGTGCCAGAGGGTCGCACCCCGCAGTCCAGGCACTCACTTCCCCAGTCTCACCAAGGCCACTGCCTCCCTAGTCACTGCTCCTCCCCCAGCCCAGCCCAGCCCAGCCCAGCCCAGCCCAGCCGCTGAATCACTGTCCATTTCACAAGACCTTCCAGGTATAAGTGGTTCTATTTGGCCTGTGGGTTCAGGCTGGAGTGAATGTGAGAGGATGTGGGACCCACAGGGAGGCCAGTGCTCCCCTCCTTTCTGTAGACTGGATTCTTTGCACTATGGAGGCCACCAGGGACACCCCGTGGAGCTATGGGTGTGAGCTGCGTCCTGCTGGTGCAACATTTCTGGTGTCATTATCAATCCCCCTGCATTTGTTTTCTTTCTTTTTCTATTTTTATTGAGACACTAGAGGCCCGGTGCACGAAATTCATGCACAATGAGGTCCCTAGGCCTGGTGGGCAATCAGGGGCCAATCTGGGCCCGAAGGTCCCTGCGGGGTCGGGAGAGGAGGTGAAGGTCGCCAGGCGGGTACAGAAGGAACAGATGTCAGACGCCAGATGCTGGCTGCCCTTGGTGCCCCGTTACCCCATGGTTCCCCATCTCCTCTCTACCCCCCACCCCCACCCCCAGCCTCCTTCCCTCGGTGTCCTGCTGCCACCGGGGGCCTGCTGGCCAGGGGAGGAGTGAGGGAGAGGGGCAGGGAGAGGTTTCCTTACCCAGTGTGGAATGTGCAGGAGGCAGCCAATCAATGATTCTCCGTCATCATTGATGTTTCTGTTTCTAAATATATATTTTTAAATGCAAAGTTTTTAGAGGAAGACAGGCAGGGCAAGGGAGCTATTGACAGGGGGCATTTGAGATCTTGCCCACATTTCAGATAGGATAACATCAGGTGGTCCTCAGGAGGTGACAGGTGAGGAGTGGCAGGGGGTGGGGCAGGGCACTGCGGCTGAGGAACGGGCTGTGATGACTGGGAAGGGCTGTGACAGTGACACGGAGCAGGTGTTGGGCCATCGCTGGGACCATTCATCCCCAAGAGGTTTCGATTCCGGAGGGAGGGGCCTTTCTTAGCCTAAAGGTGAGGCAGCGGCAGGAGCGGGCTGCCCGCTTCCTTGTAAATGTAAACGCACAGTGTACCAGTCCGCAGCCAAGTCAGTGCCCGGCCAGGCCGGTAGCTGGGTGCTGCCGCCCTGTGGCTGTGCTGCGGCGCTATTGGCCAGAGGCCGAGCCCCCCCCCACCCCACCCCCACCCCCAGCACAATAGTACAGGAAGCAGCGGGCTGGAAGCAGGAAGGCGGCCCCAAGCCAGTGTTATGTAAGAGGGGGAAGGGAGCAGAGTTGGAAGTGAGGGGCCTGAATGTCGCCGTCTGAGGGAGCTGCGTCTGCCTGGGAGCCCGATGGGGAGCAGCGGCCGGTCGCTTTGGAGTCTGAGGGGCTGCGCTTGCTGCCGGCACCGGCACCGGCACCGGTGAGTCCCTGGGAGCCCGCGGCGGCCGCCAAGCTGGGCTGGGCCTGGGGAGGCCTTTCCCTCCTGGAGCTGATCTTCCCAGGGTGGCCGCGTCGGCTGCTTTCTTTTTTTCCGATTTATTTTTTTTTATTGGAAAGCAAGCGCTGGGCTTCGGGTTCCTGGGATCCCTGGGCCTTAGCGTGCGCCACCAGGCCTCGCTGCGCCCCCTCCCCTACCCTGGCGCCCCTTTTTTCGTTCGCCGGTTCGTGTAACTTTCTGTCCTGGGCGCCTGCACTGCTGCTGAGGGTCGAGATGGAGCGGTCTGGGTCTGAAGGTGTCAGCCCGGCCTTGTTGCTCGTGCTTCTGCTTTGGGAACCGCTGCTCCCCGCTGTGAGTTGGGAAATGGACTCGGGGCGAATGAACCTGGGTGAGTGCGGGGAGCCCATGTGGGGGTGGGGAACCTTCCCGCCGGGTGGGGCACAGACCCGCCGACCCCTCGGCGATCATCTCTGCGGGCGCCGTTCAGTCTCGGGGTGTCAGCTTAGCTGGCTTCCTCTTTCCAGGTGAGAGGGACGGAAATGAGCCTGTGACTTGTCACAAATAGTTCTGGGCGAAGGGACCGGGAGGAAGATGGGAGGAGCCGCGACAGCACGCCCCACCCACCCGCTGCATGCCCCCAGCGCCCCGCCACGCCCCCCTCCTCCTTCCCTCCCAGAGGTGCTGCCACTAGGGAGGGGGAAGGGAGAGGGGCAGGGAGAGGTTTCCTTACCCAGTGTGGAATGTGCAGGAGGCAGCCAATCAATGATTCTCCATCATCACTGATGTTTCTATCTCTGTTCCCTCTCTGAAACCAATCAAATATATATTTTTAAATGCAAAGTTTTTAGAGGAAGACAGGCAGAGCAAGGGAACTATTGACAGGGGGCGTTTGAGATCTTGCTCACATTTCAGATAGGATAACATCAGGTGGTCCTCAGGGGGTGACAGGTGAGGACGGGCAGGGGGTGGGGCAGGGCACTGCGGCTGAGGAACGGGCTGTGATGACTGGGAAGGGCTGTGACAGTGACACGGAGCGGGTGTTGGGCCATCGCTGGGACCATTCATCCCCAAGAGGTTTCGATTCCGGAGGGGAGTGGAAACAAACTACCACGTGGGGGCGCTCACGTACAGTGCTATTGAAACTTCCTGGCCCATGCGCAGAAGTCGGTATTTTGTGGAAGAGCCACACTCAAGGGACCAAAGAGCCGCATGTGGCGCTCGAGCTGTGGTTTGCCCAGCTGCTGTTTGCCCACCACTGCTCTAGGCGAAGTCTCCTCCAAATGTCCCTTGTTGAGTCACTAAATGTGTATTCTCCCATGTCCCTGTGTGGTTCAGGTTCAGGATCTGGAGGAGGGGCCACACACAAATGAAAGAGACGAGACAAGAGATATTTTTTTTTTATTAGTTAAGGTATTACAAATGAAGAGATTTTTTTTTAAATATATTTTATTGATTTTTTACAGAGAGGAAGGGAGAGGGATAGAGAGTTAGAAACATCGATGAGAGAGAAACATCGATCAGCTGCCTCCTGCACACTCCCCACTGGGGATGTGCCCGCAACCAAGGTACATGCCCTTGACCGGAATCGAACCTGGGACCCTTGAGTCCACAGGCTGATGCTCTATCCACTGAGCCAAACCGGTCAGGGCAAGAGACAAGAGATATTAATTTGGAAATATTGGAGGGGCAGGCAGGCAAGCCCAACTCAAGGGGAAGGACATCCACTGGTGCCCAGGCCTCGCCAGCCTTTTATTCAACTTTGGTTACACATAAAGTCCTTAGGCAGGCAATTGCGGTAGCAGGCAGACTACCTTAAAGGTCAGTAAATATCAGAAGGATTTACTCTGAGACTATTTGATCAGGAAATAGCCTGAGCCCCCATTGTCTGGACTAGACAATCGGAGCATAACTCAGGCCCTTGCCATGGGTTCAAGGGTCACCAGAGTTCCGGGATCCTTGTTTGCACTTCTCTGCTAGTGAAGATGTTACAGTTAAGCCCCTCTTGTACTGGGGAAATGGAACCAACTGTGGTCAAGAGTAGTCTAGGGTACGGGGCAAGTTTATATTAGTAGTTGGGGCAATGGGGCAAGTTGATATTATTAGCTAGGGAAACGGGGCAAGTTGATATTAGTAGCTAGAGCAACGGGGCAAGTTGATTAATGTATCCCAGGTAACTTTGTGTGTGTTTAGCCAACCGTTGTATTGTTTTTGGGAATAAAAGGCTTTTGAAGTAGTTGTTCAAGGCAGCAAACTCCGGCGTTAACCTATGCCGCCATCTTGGTTCTCCATAACTGTGTTTTTCAGAATTATATTTTTAAAGAGTATCCCCTTTAGGCTTATTTGCATATACAGAGGGATCATGGGTAGTCCCAGTAACTTTCAGAGGGCTTTATTAAAATGTAATGGTTTATAAAAATATTGGCTTTTCATTTAGCTGAAATTATATGCAACCTTGATTATAATTTAAAAAGCTTACTTATAAAGTAATCAAAGTAGGTATCTTTATTAAAAAGGCAAAGCAAGTCAATTTAGTAAACTTATATATACATGTCTGATTCACAGGCACAAACGCTGCCTCACCTCCAGCCTACTATTTAAAATGCAGGTGGCCAGAGGCTTGTCTTTTAAATTTCTGCTGCTGAAAAATCTGGCTGTATTTAAGAAATATATTGTTACTTTATATGTATATAAGTAAAATATAGTTATTAATTTTTATTTGATTAAAGCTTTCCATGTGATTTCAAGTATATTAGATTGGCTAAATTTAAAATGTTTCTTTTAAGAAGAGAGAAAAAATTCTTTTTTGGATCACTCTGGGCCCTTGGAGTTTTCCAAAAATCATCCCTGGGATCTTAAAGGACATCAATTAAATTTAAACTGGTTTTTGTATTAAAAATTCCATTTGGATTATAGAATCAATCCTTTTTCATTAGACCAATGAGCAACATATTTTGAACTCCTAATTATTTCAGCGAAAACACAAAAATTATTTTCTAAAAATAAATTTCTATACTTTGGGCAGTTAGTTACCACAACTATATAATTTCTCCCAATTTAACTTAAATTCTTAAACTTTTAGAGCTGGCAAGTCAAGCATTTTGTGATTAGTGAAACCTTTATATTTTTCAGAATAAATTTCAAAAAATATAAGACATATTTAATTAATAGATTCAATTCTATCCTCTAGATTTTTTTTTTTTAATAAGGTAAACTCGGGTTAATATTTCAGTATTTTTGTCCTTTTAAAATACCTAGCTATCTAATCATTTTTATTATTTAATTCAGCAGTGTTCTAAAGTCTTACGTTGCCAAAGGCTTTGGAAAACAAAACCCCAGAAACCTGCTTTCAGCCAGCGGGGATCTCAGAGCTGGAGTTGAAACAGTGTTTCAATTATAGAACCCAAACAAACCAGATACCTGCTTTCAGCAGCCGAGGCCTAAGAGCTGGAGCCAAGCCTCAGAGCTAAAGCTGGCCCAGAATTAAAAACAAAAAAGAAAAAAAGGAGCGGTTGGGAGCTTCAGTCACCCGCCAGCCTGAAAACAGCCCTCAGCCCCTCACCCAGACTGGCCAGGCACCCCAGTGGGGACCCCCACCCTGAAGGGGGAGTGACCAGCTGCAAACAGCCATCAGCCCCTCACCCAGGCTGGCCAGGCACCCAAGCGGGACCCCCACTCTGATCCAGGACACCCTTCAGGGCAAACCAGCCAGCCCCCACCCGTGCACCAGGCCTCTATCCTATATAGTAAAATGGTAATATGCCTCCCAGCACCAGGATCAGCAGAGCCACGAGGCCTCCCGGCACCGGGATCAGTGTGACAGGGGAAGGCGCCCCAACCCCCTGATCCGCCCTGCTCTGTGTGTGACAGGGGGTGGTGCCCCAACTCCCCTATCAGCCCTACTCTGTGAGTGACAGGGGGGAGCTCCCCAAACCCCTGATGGGCCCTGCTCTGTGCGTGACAGGGTACAAAACCCCAACCCCCTGATCGGCCCTGCTCTGTGCATGACAGGGGGCAGTGCCCCAACCCCCTGATCAGCCCTGCTCTGTGTGTGACAGGGGGCGGTGCCCCAACTCCCCTATCAGCCCTACTCTGTGAGTGACAGGGGGGAGCTCCCCAACCCCCTGATGGGCCCTGCTCTGTGTGTAACAGGGGGCAGCGCGCCAACCCCCTGATTGGCCCTGCTCTGTGCGTGACAGGGGGTGGCGCCGCAACCTCCCCATCAACCCTGCCTTGAGTGTGACAGGGGGCGGTGCCCCAACCCCCCAATCGGCCCTACCCTGAGTGTGGCATCGAAACCTCCCAAATCCGCCCTGCTCTGTGCATGACAGCGGGCGGCACCCTAACTCCCCAATCAGCCCTGCTCTGAGCCCGACCAGGGGCTGCACCTACGGATTGGGCCTGCCCTCTGCCACCCGGGAGCAGGCCTAAGCCAGCAGGTCGTTATCTCCCGAGGGGTCCCAGACTGCGAGAGGGCACAGGCCGGGCTGAGGGATGCCCCCTCCCTCCCGAGTGCACAAATTTTTGTGCACCAGGCCTCTAGTGTTCTATAATAACATGCAAAAACTGTAAGGGAATACCTTCTGAAACTTTAATACCTTAAGCATGCAAATCAAAAATCTACAATAAAGTTTTTCTCCTTTTGACGAATTCTGCCCCATTAGCCTGGCTCAGTGGTCGGCAAACTCATTAGTCAGCAGAGCCAAATATCAACAGTACAATGATTGAAATTTCTTTTGAGAGCCAAATTTTTTAAACTTAAACTATATCGGTAGGTACATTGTTATTAACTTAATCAGGGCACTCCTAAGCTGGCTTTTGCTAAAAACGTCCTCAATCTGATTGAGGTACATTTGCTGAGGTCGACCCCTTCCAACTCTCCCATCCACACTTGTCTTGTATACTTGTTTCGTCTATCTCCTTTCGTTCATCCTCTCTGTATGTCCAAACCATCTCAACATACCTTTCTCAATCCTCAACACTACATCTTTCACTCCACAACATTCCCTAAAATTAATAAACTTTACTTAAAGTTTTAAGTCTTAGTTAAATTATAGGTACGTTGAATAAAACTTGATATCATACTTAATAACGATATTAGTTATGGATAAAATTAAATTCCTTACAATTTATCTTACAATATCCATAAAATTAAATCATGACAATGACTGGCCCAGGCCAAAAATCGACTTCTGCGCACTGGCTACGAAATTTCAGTCGCACTGTATATGCGCACCTGCACGTGGTATTTTGTGGAAGAGCCACACTCAAGGGGCCAAAGAGCCACATGTGGCTCACGAGCCGCGGTTTGCCAACCACTGGCCTGGCTAAATAGAAACACGTACCCACCCTACTTACAGATCATGAATTCTGCAGCTGATCATGGGCTTTGCTGTGGTGAAATATCTCCCACCATTATGGTGAATTCTTCCCCATCTATACGGTGAAACTTTGTTTTTTCGCTCTAGGTGAAGTCTACTCCTCCAGATGTCCTATGTTGAGGTGCTAGATGTGTATGTTCTCCCATGTCCCTGTGTGGTTCAGGTTCAGGATCTGGAGGAGGGGCCACACACAAATGAAAGAGACGAGACAAGAGATTAATTTGGAAATATTGGGGGTCCAGGATGACAAGCCCAACTCAAGGGGAAGGACTTCCACTGGTGCCCAGGCCTCGCCAGCCTTTTTATTCAACTTTGGATACACATCTAGCTCTTAGGCAGGTAATTGTGGTAACAGACAGACTATCTTAAAGGTCAGTAAATATTAGGAGGATTTACTCTGAGACTATTTATTTGATCAGAAAATAGCTTGAGTCCCCATTGTCTGGACTAGACAATCGGTGCTTAACTCTGGCTCTTGCCATGGGTTCAAGGTTCACCAGCGTCCGGGATCCTTGTGTGCACTTCTCTGCTAGTGAAAACAATGGGTGGCTTCCTGCACTGTGAGCTGGGCTGGGCCTGGGGAGGTCTTTCCGTCCTGGAGCTGTTCTTCCCAGGTGGCCGTGTCAGCTGCTTTTTTTTTTTTTCATTTCTTTTTTTATTTATTGGAAAGCAAGCTCTGGGCTTCTGGTTCCTGGGATCCCTGGGCCATAGCATGCCCCCCTCCCCCTTCTCCTGCATTGAGCATCTGGCCCCTGGTGATCAGTGCGCATCATAGTGACTGGTCCTGGTCTGGGGTTCCGAGTTATGGTTGTTGGGCCTTTATTAGATAGGATAATGAACACAACATTATATTCGTTTCAAATGTGTAACATAATGAAGTGTCAGATGTGCCTCCTAATAACTCTCAGTTCTCACAATACAGTGTTATCAGCCGCAGTCCCCGTGCCCTGCCTCCCCATGACGGGTTTAGTTTATCCCTGGAGTGTGTGCCCTTTAAGATAGGGTGACAGGCCATGGGGTGGAGAGCCGGGGGTGGTGTAAGGCCCACTGGGTGGGGGTGGGAGTCAGGGAGGGGGGGTGAAATATTACAAGAATTACAGCCCCGGGAGTGAGGGGGCCTTAACCGAGGGATGGCAGCAATGCTGTGACACTATTGAGGTGTTTTCACTGAATAAATTCCCTTCCTGTCTCTACCCCTCACCCTGCACTCCCACCCCCGCCACCCTCCACCTCAAAAACGGGGGGAAACAGGCCAAATATGCCGGGGGGGGGGGGGCGAGAGTGGGGCCAAGGGTAGATCACGGAGGTGATCCCCGAGGGCCAGACCAGTGGCAGGAAGGATAAGCGGATGCGGGGAGGCAGGGCGCAAGGCAGGGCGGGGTGGTGGTCAAACTTGGCCCGGAACAGGCTAAAGGCAGGGCGGGGTCTGGTCAAACTTGAACCGGAACCGGTTGCAAGGCAAGGCCGGGGCCCAGGCAGGCCCGGCCAGTGAGGACTAGCACGAGGCTGCACCAGCTGGGATATTCCGTCCCTAAGGTCCTCACAAGTCTTGTCCCAGCACCTTGTAGCAGTGCTGGAACTTCCCTTCTGGATACGCACTTTTTCTGAGGGTGGAGATGGAGGGGTCTGGGTTTGAAGGTGTCAGCCCGGTCTTGTTGCTCATGCTTCTGCTTTGGGAACCTGCCGATTCACACTGTGAGTTGGGGAATGTAATCAGGACAGGAAAGCTGATGGCAGGGAGCCCACAATAGGGGTGGGCACAGACCCCTCGGGGATCACCTCTGTAGGCGCCTTTCATTCTCAGGGTGTCAGCTTAGCTGGCCGCCTCTTTCCAGGTAAGAGGGACGGAAATGAGCCTGTGACTTGCCACAAATAGTCCTGGGCGAAGGGACCGGGAGGAAGATGGGAGAAAGGACGAAGCCCCCTCTTCCACCCCAAGCCGCGACAGCACGCCCAACCCACCCGCCTCACTAAAGGCCTCTGCAAAGTGGGAGCCGAGCCCCTGCCATCTGCACGCGAACAGGACAAGGACCGCCCGGCCATCAGGGGGTTCACTTGCTGTCCAGAATGGGGAGGGGCGCTTATTTACCTTTATTCCAATCCCTGCGTTCCTCCCTCACAGGTGTTCCCTCTCTGGGCTACACATTCACAGTCATTCCTAATGGACAACCGTGGTGTGAAATTCAAGGCCAGGTCAATGGGAACACATTTCTTCATTATACCTGTGGTGGCGACAGGGTCAGACTCATCAGTGTCCTGGAGATGAATGCCACACCGGCCTGGAGTGAACAGAGAGACGCTCTGCAGTACGTGGTGGAGGAGCTCAAGAAGACCCTGCTGGACATTAGAGCAGAGATTCCTGCAACCAGCGGTACGTTTACAAAACCAGGGTGGAGGCAGAACAGAGGTGTAGGGTGAGGGATCAATTGTGTTTATGCAAATGTGGGAAGTCCATCCCACCCAAGAGACTCGGGAGTCAGTGTAGGACACAGAGGACAGAGCATGACCAGGAGAGCAGAGGGGAGCAGAGGGCTGGACACCAGGTGGGGACAAAGGCTGTGTCAAGACCCAAGGCTGACCTCTTTCCATGGTGCTGGGACAGGTCCTCTCTCCCTGCAGGGCAGCATGATGTGTGAGCAGGACTCCAATGGACTCACCACTGCATCCTGGGAGTTCGGACTGGATGGACAGAAATCTCTCCGCTTTGACACAAAGAACGGACACTGGACAGTGCTGCACGGTGAAGGCATTCTGTTAAAGCAAACATTGGCGAGTGACAGAGCTATGACCGATCTCCTTGTTAGGACCTCAACTGGAGACTGTAGGAAGTGGCTTCAACAAGTTCTGTGTCCCCTGAGCACACAAGGTAATTCTACAGAGGGAATGAAGTTGTAGGTCCCTTGAAATGACATTCACACTGTGTGTGTGTCTGTGTGTTGTGTGTGGTTGGAGAAAGTGACCCATCCACCATGGTGAGGAAATTTTGGAGAATAAGGGCCATAGGAATGTTCTGCGATCCCTCCTTGGGTTTCTCACTTCCTCACGTCTCTGCCTGCACATAACCTTGGACCACTCACTCGCCGGGGTTTCTTGCTGACTGCAAACCTGCGGGCACTGTTCTGTTTGCAGACCTTTTCCTTGTCCTGTTCCCTCTTCTCAGCATCATGTGTCTTCATCTCACCTGGTCTATTTCTGGAAATCCTTTAACACCACCTCACATCAGCCCTAGGAGGATTCTCTGCCACCTCCCTCAGGTGTCACCTCCTCTTCTGTCCCAGCAGGAGTGATTGTTGTAACCCTTGCTTCCCCCGTTAGCTGTATGAGCCCCAAGGGGCCGGGGCCCATCTCCTCTCTTTGCTCCAACCCCAGCCTCTGGCACTGTGGCTGCCACACGTGGAGGGTAGAAGCTGCACAATAGAATGGCCTGGGACAGCAGGGGCTGAGGGGCATCTCCATGGAACTGGGTTCTGCACGGTTCTCACTCTCATGTTTCCATTACAGCTGCACCAACCACTGCCACAGCCACAGTCCCGCCAAAGGCCACAACCAACACGCCCATCCCTTCGGTCCTGCCTGTGATCCTCACCTGCGCAATAATAGTTGGCCTCTTAGGCTGGGCCCTTAAGTAACAGGTACTGGGGCATAATTACAGGTACCATGACAGGTACTGATCGATGGCACACGCACTTCCTGAGCAGCACTTCAAAACGTATGAAGAAGTGCAAAATTGGGTCTCTGAATGGTTTGCCTCAAAACAAGGAAAGTTCTATTGGGACGGTATCCACAAATTACCTGAAAGATGGGGGAAATGTGTAGCTTGCGATGGACAGTACTTTGAATAAAGCACTTTTGATGTTTCTTCTGAAATTATTGTGTTTCCTTTGATTACAAAATCCGCATTATTAAATGGTACACCCGACAAGAGCAGGGGAGCATCTGTTGTGTTGAGGTGAGGAGTATTAGGGAGTGAAATGGAGAAGCCCTGTTAGGTAGATAGTCGTCATTCCCCTTATTAACTTATGAAGACTGAAATATAGAAATACAACAGAATAAGTTGTATTTTTTTTTGAAAGAAAGTTCGACTGTGATATAAGCCCTGCCCTGACTCAGGCATGGCTGGCCAAGAACCAGTGTTTACAACAGGAGCAGAGTGGGCTTTGGGCGCTTCTGATCGTCTCATGTGGAGTCACTGTTCGCCAGGGCAGGCATGTCAAGTACTGTGTCAAGACCGAGGGAGTGGCGTGTGAGGCACCACACAGAACCACAGCCTGGGCACCTGCATAAGGACTCCATCCGGACACAGATGAGTGGGGCCTCCGCTCCCGGTGGGCCATAAGGACTCGGGGTCCGACCTCCCCATGCTGGAGCCTGGTTGCAGCACAGGCAATGCTCAGAGCTTTGCCAGAGTTCCCCCCAGAGGGGTGCGGTCGCCTGCGGTGCGACCCCCGCCGCTTCTCTCTCCACCCACAGACCCTCCAGTGGCTGGGAGTCTGTGCCTGATGATCGCTTCTAAGGAAGGCTCCCCTTCTCAGTATGTGAGCTGTGTGTGATTCTATTGGCTCCCGGGGAGGTCTCCCCTAATAAACCTGGCATCTGGGACTCAGAGGGGCCATGGGAAGCCGCCCAGTGTGTGCTCATGTGCTCCAGCCACCCCGGGCACCAGTGCAGCCTGCGGGCGAGGGCTGCCCATCCCAGGACACAGGAGGCCCTGCAGCCTCGGGCACTGGCAGTCAGAGAGTGCGGCAGACTCAGGAGACAGCTGGGCATCGCAGGCAGGCCGCCCCTCGGAGGCCACGTGTCCTCAGACTCCGCGTTGAACTTGGATTTTCACAGGAAACAGCCAAGGAGCAGCAGCCCCTGCAGGTCCCTGCGAGGGAGCCCGGGCGTGGGCCCTCCACACGGACCTGCACGGTGACCCCAACATCGGTGGTGATCAGTGTCAGAAGAAATCGGCCTCCAGCCCCTCCAAGAACTGCCCTCCTTCCAGCGCCATCTGCAAGCCATGGCCAGGCCATCACAGAGCCTCAGCGTTCCTGCACACATGCCCCGGGTGGAACTGGGTTCCTCCCCGACCTGGTCCTCCAGGTCGGATTGCTCTCCCAGCCCAACGCAGCCTTCAAGTCCACCCTCAATGCCAGCAGAGCTCTGTCTGAAGAGGCACCGACTTTGACTGACTTTGGAAACCTGTGCTTTTGAGACACTTTTTATTTTTTAAATGGATTTCTGGCTCCTGGTGGGTCAAAGGCAAAGTGCTCCCTGGCTACTAACCGCTCACCTGCCAGCCTACCTGATCTCCCCTAACCACTCTGCCTGCCTGCCAGATACCCTTAACTGATCTCTCCTGCCAGCATGATCCCCCTAACTGCTCTCCCCTGCCTGCCTGATTGCCCCTAACCGCCTCTGCCTGCCAGCCCCATCCCCCTAACTGCTCTCTCCTGCCTGTCTGCTTACCCCTAACCGCCTCTGCCTGCCAGCCCCATCCCCCTAACTGCTCTCCCCTGCCTGCCTGATTGCCCCTAACCGCCTCTGCCTGCCAGCCCCATCCCCCTAACTGCTCTCCCCTGCTGGCCTGATTGCCCCTAACCGCCTCTGCCTGCCAGCCCCAAACCCCTAACTGCTCTGCCCTGCCTGCCTGATTGCCCCTAACCGCCTCTGCCTGCCAGCCCCATCCCCCTAACTGCTCTCCCCTGCCTGCCTGATTGCCCCTAACCGCCTCTGCCTGCCAGCCCCATCCCCCTAACTGCTCTCCCCTGCCTGCCTGATTGCCCCTAACCGCCTCTGCCTGCCAGCCCCATCCCCCTAACTGCTCTCTCCTGCTGGCCTGATTGCCCCTAACCGCCTCTGCCTGCCAGCCCCATCCCCCTAACTGCTCTCCCCTGCCTGCCTGATTGCCCCTAACCGCCTCTGCCTGCCAGCCCCATCCCCCTAACTGCTCTCCCCTGCTGGCCTGATTGCCCCTAACCGCCTCTGCCTGCCAGCCCCAAACCCCTAACTGCTCTCCCCTGCCTGCCTGATTGCCCCTAACCGCCTCTGCCTGCCAGCCCCATCCCCCTAACTGCTCTCTCCTGCCTGCCTGATTGCCCCTAACCGCCTCTGCCTAGGCCCCGCCTCCATGGCTTTGTCCAGAAGATGTCCAGTCTAATTAGCATATTACCCTTTTATTAGTATAGATCAGTGATGGCGAACCTTATGAGCTCGGCGTGCCTGCATTTTGAAAAACCCTAACTTAACTCTGGTGCCGTGTCACATATAGACATTTTTTTGATATTTGCAACCATAGTAAAACAAAGATATATATTTTTAATATTTATTTTATATATTTAAATGCCATTTAACAAAGAAAAATCAACCAAAAAAATGAGTTCACGTGTCACCTCTGACACGCGGGTCATAGGTTTGCCATCACTGGTATAGATAATGGACATATAACATTGTATTCGTTTCAAATGTCCAACACAATGATTTTATATTTGTGTTTATTGTGAAAAGATCACCAGAGTAAGTCTAGTTGACATCTATCACCACCCACAGTTGCAATGTTTTCCTTGTGAGAAGTGTCAGATGTGCCTCCTAATAACTCTCAGTTCACAATACAGTGTTATCAGCTGCAGTCCCCGTGCCCTGCCTCCCCATGATGGGTTTAGTTTATCCCTGGAGTGTGTGCCCTTTAAGATAGGGTGACAGGCCATGGGGTGGAGAGCCGGGGGTGGTGTAAGGCCCACTGGGTGGGGGTGGGAGTCAGGGAGGGGGGTGAAATATTACAAGAATTACAGTCCCGGGAGTGAAGGGGCCTTAACCCAGGGATGGCAGCAATGCTGACACCATTGAGGTGTTTTCACTGAATAAATTCCCTTCCTGTCTCTACCCCTCACCCTGCACTCCCACCCCCTCCCTCCACCCCACCACCCCTCTACCCTTCCAACACAAAAAGGGGAAAAAAGACCAAACAGGCTGGAAGGGACAGAGCAGGCAGGATCAGAGCAGGGCTGCTTAGCTGGGGTAAGTCATTGGGGGGGGGGGGGGGTGCCGGTCACTGGGACTGTGGGGGTGCATTGTGCTGGAATGTGGTCACAATCACCCTGGCCTGAGTGAGAAACCACAGCTTGCCTGAAACCTTGGCATTTGTCCCAGCTTCCGGCTGGAAAATCTACTCACGTGGCGGTCTGTCCCTGTGCAGGCGGGGCCAGTTGCAAATACAAAGGAGATGCCTGGGCGGCACTTGCACAGAACTTTGGAGACTTGGAGGACTCTCTGCTGGTGATGCAACCAGGGTCCTGGCTGGGAGCACTGCTCTGAGGGTCGAGATGGAGCGGTCTGGGTGTGAAGGTGTCAGCCCCGTCTTGTTGCTCCTGCTTCTGCTTTGGGAACCCGCTGCTCCCGCTGTGAGTTGGGGAATGGAATCGGAGCAAGGGAACCTGAGGGATGGAATGGGCGGGGAGTCCACTATGGGGTGGGGAACCTTCCCGCTGGGTGGGGCACAGACCCACCGAACTCCTTGGAGATCATCTCTTCGGGGCGCCTTTCAGTCTCTGGGCGTCTGCACACCTGGCTGCCTCTGTCCAGGTGAGAGGGACGGAAATGAGCCTGTGACTTGTCCTGGGCGAAGGGGCCGGGCAGAGGGGTAGGGGGGAAGATGGGAAAGAGGACAAAGCCCCCTCCTCCATCCCGAGCCACAGCAGCACGCCCCACCCACCCGCCTCACTAAAGGCTCCTGCAAAGTGGTAGCCGGAGCCCCTGCCATCTGCACGCCAACAGGACAAGGGCCGCCCGGCCATCAAGGGGTCGCTTGCTGTCCAGATGGGGAGGGGCACTTAGTTACCTTTATTCCCACCCCTGCGTTCCTCCCTCACAGGTGCTCCCTCTCTGGGCTACACATTCACAGTCACTCCTAATGGACAACCGTGGTGTGAAATTCAAGGCCAGGTCAATGGGAACACGTTTCTTCATTATACCTGTGGTGGCCACAAGGTCAGACTCATCAGTGTTCTGGAGATGAATGCCACACAGCCCTGGAGTGAACAGAGAGACGCTCTGCAGTACGTGGTGGAGGAGCTCAAGAAGACCCTGCTGGACATTAGAGCAGAGATTCCTGCAACCAGCGGTAAGATTACAAAACCCAGGGTAGAGGCAGAACAGAGGTTTAGGGTTAGGAATCAGTTGTGTTTATGTAAATATGGGAAGTCCATCCCACCCAAGAGCCTCCGGAGTCAGTGTAGGACACAGAGGACAAGCAGGACCAGGAGAGCAGAGGGCTGGACACCAGTGGGGACAAAGGCTGTCAAGACCCAAGGCTGACCTCTTTCCCTTGGTGCTGGGACAGGTGCTCTCTCCCTGCAGGGCAGCATGATGTGTGAGCAGGAATCCAAAGGACTCACCGCTGCATCCTGCGAGTTTGGACTGGATGGACAGATATCTCTCCGCTTTGACACAAAGAACAGACACTGGACAGTGCTGCACGGTGAAGGCATTCTGTTAAAGCAAACATTGGCGAGTGACAGAGCTATGTCCGATCTCCTTGTTAGGACCTCAGCTGGAGACTGTAGGAAGTGGCTTCAACAAGTTCTGTGTCCCCTGAGCACACAAGGTAACTCTACAGAGGAAATGAACTTGTAGTTCCCTTGAAATGACATTCACACTGTGTGTGTGTGTGTGTCTGTGTGTTGTGTGTGGTTGGAGAAAGTGACCCATTCACCACGGTGATGGATTTTGGGAGAATAAGGGCCATAGGTATGTTCTGCGATCCCTCCTTGGGTTTCTCGCTTCCTCACGTCTTTGCCTGCACATGACCTTGGACCACTCACTCACCGGGGATTCTTGCTGACTGCAAACCTGCGGGCATTGTTCTGTTTCCAGGCCTTATCCTTGTCCTGTTCCCTCTTCTCAGCATCACGTGTCTTCATCTAACCTGGTCTACTTCTGGAAATCCTTTAACTATACCTCACATCAGCCCTGCGAGGATTCTCTGCCACCTCCCTCAGGTGTCACCTCCTCTTCAGTCCCAGCAGGAGTGACTGTTGTAACCCTTGCTCCCCCGTTAGCTGTGTGAGCCCCAAGGGGCCGGGGCCCATCTCCTCTCTTTTTTTTTTTTTTAAATATATTTTATTGATTTTTTACAGAGAGGAAGGGAGAGAGATAGAGAGAGTTAGAAACATCGATGAGAGAGAAACATCGATCAGCTGCCTCCTGCACATCTCTATTGTGGATGTGCCCGCAACCCAGGTACATGCCCTTGACCGGAATCGAACCTGGGACATTTCAGTCCGCAGGCCGATGCTCTATCCACTGAGCCAAACCAGTTTCGGCCCATCTCCTCTCTTTGCTCCAACCCCAGGCTCTGGCACTGTGGCTGCCACACGTGGAGGGTAGAAGCTGCACAATAGGATGACCTGGGACAGCAGGGGCTGAGGGGCATCTCCATGGAACTGGGTTCTGCACGGTTGTCACTCTCATGTTTCCGTTACAGCTGCACCAACCACTGCCACAGCCACAGTCCCGCCCAAGGCCACAACCAACACACCCATCACTTCAATCCTCCCTGTGACCCTCACCTGTGCAATCATAGTTGGCATCTTAGGCTGGGCCTTTAAGTAACAGGTACTGGGGCATAATTACAGGTACCATGACAGGTACTGATCGATGGCACACGCACTTCCTGAGCAGCACTTCAAATGTATGAAGAGTGCAAAATTGGGTCTCTGAATGGTTTGCCTCAAAACAAGAAAAGTTCTAATGGGACGGTATCCACAAATTACCTGAAAGATGGGGGAAATGTGTAGCTAGTGGTGGACAGTACTTTGAATAAAGCACTTTGGATGTTTCTTCTGAAATTATCGTGTTTCCTTTTATTACAAAATCCGCGTTATTAAATGGTACACCTGATGAGAGCAGTGGAGCATCTGTTGAGTTGAGGTGAGGAGTATTAGGGAGTGAAATGGAGAAGCCCCAGTAAGTTGATAATTGTCATTCCCCTTATTAATTTATGAAGACTGAAATATAACAGAATAAGTTGTATTTTTTTTTTTTAAAGAAAGTTCGGCTGTGATAGAAGCCCTGCCCTGACTCAGGCGTGGGGGGCCAAGAACCAGTGTTTACAACAGGAGCAGAGTGGGCTTTGGGGCGCTTCTGACCGTCTCCTGTGGCGTCACTGTTCGCCAGGGCAGGCATGTCAAGTACTGTGTCAAGACCGAGGGATTGGCGTGTGAGGCACCACACAGAACCACAGCCTGGGCACCTGCATAAGGACTCCATCCGGACACCGATATGAGTGGGGCCTCCGCTCCTGGTGGGCCATAAGGACTCGGGGTCCGACCTCCCCATGCTGGAGCCTGGCTGCAGTGAGGACAATGCTCAGAGCCCTACTTCTCCCCAGACGGGTGCGGCTGCCTTCAGTGCTACCCCCACCAGCTTCTCTCTCCACCCACAGACTCTCCAGTGGCTGGGAGTCTGTGCCTGATGATCGCTTCTAAGGAAGGTTCCCCTCTCGGTGTGTGAGCTGCGTGTGATTCTATTGGCTCCCCGGGGAGGTCTCCCTAATAAACCTGAACTCAGAGGGGCCATGGGAAGCCGCCCCGTGTGTGCTCATGTGCTCCAGCCACCCCGGGCACCAGTGCAGCCTGCGGGGCGAGGGCTCCCATCCCAGGACACAGGAGGCCCTGCAGCCTCGGGCACTGGCAGTCAGAGAGCGAGGCGGACTCAGGAGACAGCTGGGCATCGCAGGCAGGCCGCCCCTCGGAGGCCACGTGTCCTCAGACTCCGCGTTGAACTTGGATTTTCACAGGAAACAGCCAAGGAGCAGCAGCCCCTGCAGGTCCGTGCGAGCGAGCTGGGGCGTGGGCCCTCCACACGGACCTGCACGGTGACCCCAACATCGGTGGTGATCAGTGTCAGAAGAAATCGGCCTCCAGCCTCTCCAAGAACTGCCCTCCCTTCCAGCGCCATCTGCAAGCCATGGCCAGGCCATCACAGAGCCTCAGCGTTCCTGCACACATGTCCCGGGTGGAACTGGGTTCCTCCCCCACCTGGTCCTCCAGGTAGGATTGGTCTCCTAGCCCGACCCAGCCTGCAAGTCCACCCTCAATGCCAGCAGGGCTCTGTCTGAACAGGCACTGGCTTTGGAAACCTGTGCTTTTGAGACACTTTTTTTTTTAATCGATTTCTGGTTCCTGGTGGGTAAAGGCAAAGTGCTCCCTGGCTCCTGACAGCTCCTCACAATGCCCAGCGCCCCTGCTTCTCACTGCCCCTCCTTCCTGTGACCTTGGGGTGCCCTTGAGCATGCAGCCCCACCCGCTCTCTTGCCAGCACCAGCATCAGGAGGTAACCAGGGCTCTGAGCACCACAAAGAATGTCAGGTCCCTGGAAGCACCTGACATGAACGCTCTGCAGAGAAACGGGTAGGAGACCTCTGTGTGTGACTGTCCTTTCAGTTCAAGTACAAACCACACACGTAAGGAAGCCAGTGCAATGAGAGGCAGAAAATAGAGCCTAGAGCTGGCCTTGGCTGTTGAAGTTATGTGTGTGTGTGCAAACACATGTATATGTGTGTATATGTGCTTGTGTGTGGAGAGTGTGCGCTGATGTGCATGTGTGGGTGAGTGCACATTATGTGGATGTGTTGCTGTGTGTACACTTGTGTATGTGTGTTGTGCTTTGCATGTCTATGTGTTTGAGTGTGCGTGTGAGCTGCGTGTGTTAGGGCTGGTGCATATGTGCAGATCTTCCGTTCTGCTGTTTCCCTGACAGCAGCCTGCACACCTGGTGTGGGGCCCGCCACCTCCCTGCCCTACAACTCAATCCCTGATCCTGGGGGAAATCCCACGACAGCAGAGCCTCCCTCCTGGCACCACAGGCTGGGGAGCCTTGACGGGGTCACGTGGGGTCTGCAGCCTTTGGCCAGGCCACCCCACTCCCAGCCCCAAGCCTTAGTGGGACTCCCCTTTTCATGCTCCCCTATCATGCAGGCGGAGGTGGGTGCTGGGTGACAGGCCTGCCCCACGGAGGAGGCTGCCCTGCCCTGAGGATGTCTGTCCTGCCCTCAGCGCCCGGCTCCTTTCCCTTTCTAACTGCATCTAACACCTGTGCACAGCCTCTGGGTCTCAGCCCGCTCCCAGGCAGACACATGCAACATCTGGCTGGCAGGGCCTTTGACCCGGGACACTGCACCCTGTTCAGACTCTGGGACTGCTGCCAGGGCTGATTCCCGCCCGGCCCTGCCCTGCCCTGCCCCGCCCCACACAGGCCTCTGTGGACAGGACAGACCCGAAGCTGCTCTGAGCCTTCCTGGGAGAGAGAGCCCAGGGGAGCCCGGAGGCCGGTGGCAGGGGGCGCTGTTGTACTGCGTCCTCCGGCACAGGGACCCTGGGGGGCCCTAGCACAGTGCTGATCTGCCAGAAGGGACTTCTCCTTTTTCAAATGATTTTACAAACAAGTAAATGGGACAAAAACTGCTTATTGTAAAGAAACACCACTGGCTCCCTGTGTGGCTCTTTGTGTCTCCCTGTTCCAGTCTCCCAGGGCTGGACCCCACTCCCTGGGGCCAGGGTGTGTCTCCCAGACTCTGCATCTCCAGCTTTGGGGTCAGGCAGATGGGGTGGGTCCTGGCCAGGCCATCACCAGTGGGAACACCAGGTAAGTGACTCAGCTCTGATACCTGGATCTCCCCGCTAACAGTCGAGCCCCTTACCAGCTTCTGAGGGGGATAAATGGGGGCCACCAGGCTCCAATGTGGTTGGCACAGCACCTGGCACACAGTAGGTGCTCAGTGAATGCTTTTCCTGCTACTGCTGCTTAAGGTGGAAACCAGGGTCCACGAGGGGGTGTGGTTCATTCTTCCTCCAAAACCACGTGACTACATTTAAGTCTCATCTTGGGTGGGAGGAGAGGGTGGGCCTGGGATCCAAGAGGCAGCTTCAGAGAGACCTCTCCCTGTTCATTCCTGTGCCCAGGGAGGCGGCCACTGCTGTTCCAGATCCTCCCAAGGTTGCCTGGCCACAGGCATCACCTGGGGAATTATTAAGAGCACAGACTCCTGGCCTCCGGCCCTGACACTTCCATCCGGGGGGTCTGGGTGGGTCCTGAGAATCTATGTTTATAAAGCACTCTGGGAGGGGCGCAAGGACCAGCAGTGTTGTGGGACACTGGCCATCCTCATCTTTATGGCTTTTGTAGTGGGAACAGCCAGGTACCCAAGAGGGGGTGGGGCCTGGCCCTAGTGGCCCAGGACTGTCTGGGGTGCCCCTGAGGGGAGAGTGACTAGAGATGAATGAGGTGAGGGTGAAGGAGGGCCGGCCAGCGGAGACCCAGCAGCAGCAGGTGTGCAGGCTCTGAACCCGCCCAGGTGATGCGCTCCAGGTCCCACCAGGGAGACTAGGTGACCTGGAAGGAGGAAGGGAGGGTGCAGAGTGTCCTCTGGGTTCTTCCTGCAACAGCCCCGAGGACTGATGTTGGGCGGGAACCTCTGATGGTGTCAGACTCCCCCTGGAGCTGGAAGAGCCAATGTGTGGGTCTGAGGAAGTCGGGGAGCCTCCAGGATGGGGGGCTCTCTCAATCCCCTGCCTGGGCTGGGCCCCAGCACTCCTGCAAATCCCCAAGGAGCATGATCCAGGATTCTGAGAGCCTAGCGCCACTGTCACCAGCAGGCCCGCCCAGCCGAAAGCAGTGTCTTCAGGCCGCAGTAGTCAGCTCAGCCCCCGGAACAAATATACAGGCGGGGCCTCAAACAGCAGAAGTTTATGGCCTCACAGTCTGGCAGCTAGAAGTCCGAGGTCAAGGTGTTTGCAGGGCTGCTTTCCCCTGAGGCCTCTCGCCTTCACTTGCACTTGGCTGTTGGCTCCCTGTGTCCTCACCTGGTCGTACCTCTGTGTGTGAGTGTGTGTGTGAGTCCCAGTCTCTTCTTATAGGGACACCCATCCTGTTGGAATAGGTCCACCTAGTGACCTTCATTGAACCTGAACCATCTCCAAATACAGCCACACCCTGAGGTACTTAGGGCCTCATCTGGGGGGACACAGCTCAGCCCATGACAAGGCCGAAGCAAGAACTGCAGTGACCACAAGGCCACGGGCATCTAAGGACAGCTCAGTTATGGCTGCAGCCGGACCCAACAGGACCCCAACCCCCTACTTTTGGTTTCTTGACACGCTAGGCTGCGCAAAAGTGAAAGCGTCTCTAAGGACAGCTGGTCTGAGGAGACTAGGGAGGAGCGAGAGCTCAGAAACTCCACCCCATCCACAAGACAGAGGCCAGTTTTGCCTCCCACATGGGGCACCCCATGTTCTTTATGGATATGGATTAACTGGCAAGAGTGGGGGGCCTTCCTGCTGGAAGGAGTGGCAGATAGGGATAGGCGGAGTCTGGGGAAGCTCCCACAGGGGTGAGGGGGCCAAGCCCAGAGTGATGGAGACACACGGGGTGTGTGCATGTGTGCATCTCTGTGTGTGTTCGTTGCTTTCCACTTAAAATGACAGCGCACAGTGTCACTGCGTGTGGAAAAGGAATCACTTTGGGAAATTTTTTTCTTCGTGTGTCCTCCCTTCTGGGTTCTAGTTTGTTCCAGAAAGAGGAGGGCACCGCCAGAGTGCTGTCCACTGGGCTCTGAGGGAGAGGACCCTTTACCAGGCCTGACCACACAGGCAGAGCCCATGAGGCCACAATGTCCCCTGGCTGCCCCATCTGGCCACCCACCTCACCCTCTCTGTGCTCACGGTGCACCTGCCAGGGCCCCTGGCTGAGCCTCCCTGCCCTGAGGCTGTGGGCCCCAGGCCTTGTCTCCTCCCCACCTTAGGGAGTCGGGTGAACACTGAGGCCTCCTGCTCCTGGTGGGGGCGCTCGCTCTGGTCTCCCCAAGCCCCTGACGACCCCGTGCCTTTTCCATGGAGGGGGAGGCAGTGAACAGCCCAGATGTGTGTTGCTACTGCTTCCCACTGTGTGCACCCGTGAAGGTGACCTTAGTGACAGGCTCAATGTGTGCTGCCTGCT